AACACCTTGATAATAGATCCCAGACTTCATCTTCGTATAGAATCGGTCTATGTAAAACACTAAAAACATGGAGAAAAAAAATTAGGAAAAATCATCAAGAATCAAATCAAAACATAGAGAGAGTGATTAATCCAAAAAAATCAATGTCTCAAAACCGAGGCTTCAGTTTCTCATCGACACGATGAACACGAAACAAAAAAATCAGAAACTACATAGAGAGACTGATTAATCCAAAAAAAATATGTCTCGAAACCGAGGCTTCAATTTCTCATTGACACAATGAACACGAAACAAAAAAAATCAGAAAGTAGACATAAAGAAGATAAATTTGAATGTGTTAGAGATAGGAGAGAGAGAGAGAGAGCGAGTGAGGCGGCGTTAGGGGGGGCTGGTATAAATATTAAGGGTTTATTATTTAGGGCTGGGCTTATGGGCTGGGTTTAGTATAGGGTGAGGGGTGGCGGGCTGGGATATTACACTGGGCTGGGTGGGCTGGGTAATTGGGTTGGATTATGGGTTTGGGTTAGGAAATTTATACACTAGATAATGTAGAAAAAAACATTTTAGGTCATTTATGTAATATTATATTCTAAAATTATAATTTAATTTTGAATATATTATATTAAAACACATTGATATTAGACTATGAATATAAATCTTTATATGATTTAAGAATACTAAATTTTAATGGTGGATTGTTTTTCAGAAAATGAACGGGTAATTTGATCAAAACCATCATCAGGGGTTTTTGAGTTCATTTCGACCCGTGGATGCAATATTGCTCAAACAAAATCTGCAAATTTCCCTCATGGTATATGTACTTTAGTTTCTATTAATATATTTTTTACATAAGTTTAATGTAATATTTTATTACTCTTTTTTTAATGATTATTAATATTTTTAGGAACATCAATTCATACACCTAATTCGATGCGTCCCTTGCGCTCAATTGATACGAATTCTATGTATTCTAACTTCCGATGCTATCAAGAATCTGAACGTCAATCCATGGATGTAGCTAGAAGTGGTGTTGACCCTAATCTGAAAGATAAAGAAAAGCTCTACAGTGTGAATAAAGGTTTGTACACACATCATTTATCTGACTATTTCTCTACCTATTGTGATTTTATTGTTTATATTTAATTTTAAAAAACTAATTTTGGACCATTACTTCCTTTCATTGACTCCTTTGGATAAAAGGATTCCTTTCAAGTTTCAAAGGAAACAATTTCCTGTCATGACTTCTTACGCAATGATCATTAACAAAAGTCAAGGTCAATGTTTATCGCATGTTGGGCTACTACTTAAAAAACCAGTCTTCAGTCACGGTCAGCTATATGTTGCTCTCTCCCGTGTGACAAATCGTGAAGGACTGAAGATCCTATGCTGTGATGAAGAAAATAATGCTTTGGACTACACTTCAAATGTTGTATATAAAGAGGTCTTCCAGAATTTATAATGGATTCTTATATGTTTAATTTATTTATATGTAATGCACTCTTATATGATCTAAAACTACAATGTGCATTGTTGTTCGATATATGCAGTATTCGGGTGTGATATATATTAAATTGTATTTTTCACCATAATAACACATTTTAAAAAATTTATTCTTTACACAAATAAAGTGATTTATTATTATATTATTCTGATCGTGCATCGCACAGATAAAATCTAGTAGAGCCAATGTCACAATGCAAAGAGAGGGAAAAATTATGTTAGAAAAATGATTTATTATTAATTATTATTTCATTGATTATTTAGAATAATGAAGAAATAATGTATTTATTTCTTATATTTATTCTATGATGATGAAATATTAATTAGTGTATTTCTTTATGTTTTTTCGTCTCCTTTCTCTCGAGACAAGTCTCGTTAAAGTACATTAACAAATTGTTTCATAGAGCAATCGAACAATTTGGTCTTCTACATTGTATCCCAAAAGTTCTATCTTGTAACCTTAGTTGCTTATAATAGGATAGATAAGAAACTTTTAGGAAAGTGTTTCCAAGGATCACGCGCCTTGAAGGTTTATCCGGTTAATTTAACCAACCCTGTTTTGAACTGCGTGTGGCTTGATCCCCTTCATTGGGGGTACGTAGGCAACTTAGAATGTTTTATTTTTCTAGGTGCAGTCACAATAATAAAATTATTTTTTATTGGTTTAACAATCTAAAAATTTCTTATTCTACTAAAGGTTACGGTTGGTTATTCTTCGGATTATGCTAATAATTTAATATTTTCTTGTACTTGAGTATAAGAATGATTTCTTATCGGCATGTGATAGTGAAGGAGAAGATTACGGTTAGAAAGAAATTGGTTTTATCCTTTGTTAAAGGGTGATAAGAATAAAGTTATTTTTGTTTGAGAGAAAGTATTTCTCTTAATGGAAAATAAAGTTGCTTATACATCCATTGGTAAATGATATTACCATGAAGGATGTAACTTTATTGTATTTAAAGCCATATATTGTACAATGTATTAACCAAAGTGGTTAGGTAGTCCTCATGGAGGAGGTATTTTTGTTTGGCTTCACAATTGATTAAATGATATATTTTGTATGGTTTAAATATATCCAAGCTTGGTGAATTTCTTGCATTTTATCGCGTATTTCAAGGAATAAATATTTAGTAGCATGCGGCATTGCAATATAATCAGTATCCACTTTTTATCATTTTTTAATTTTTCAGGATCACACTGTTTATTTTCTATATTTAATCACATCTATTATTTTAGGAGTTGTTATGATGTGATTATGTTTCCAAGTATGTAGCAATTACATCTTGGATCTTGCATCAATGTATTGTGTTCAGATTTCTTTAATTTGCTCGTCAAGTACATTTTTGATTTCGCATATTTTGACCATTTTTTTGCATGTGTCAATTTTAACCCATCGTCCGCCGCTCGCAATAACCACGCTTAATGTTTGAAAGAATTGTTTCGGAATCAAAATCTTTGTATTCCTTTCTGTGTTTTACAATTTACAATCCAGCCGTATATATAGCAAAGAGTCCTAATTAACAAAAGAAAAGGAATCTCTATACAATGCAACTACCATAACTAATATATACGGAAATAAATGCTAAATATTCTCTTTCCTCCTTTACACCCCCCCCCCCTCAAGTTGGAGCATGTAATGCTGAAATGCCCAACTTGGGAATAAGAAACTCCATGTGTGACTTTCCAAGTGCCTTCGTGTGAATATCTGCAAGCTGATGCATAGTAGGCACATGAAGGGCACGAATTTCTCCTCGTAAAAGCTCATCACGAATGAAATGACAATCAATCTCAATATGCTTCGTTCGTTCGTGAAAAACCGGATTAGCAGCAATATGAAGTGCTGCGGTGCTGTCATAACGTACGATCATAGGAGTCCTATGATCAACCCCCAAGCATCTCAACAAATTCTTCAACCACTTCAGCTCACAGGTAAGAACAGCGAGAGCCCTGTACTCTGCCTCAGCAGACAAACGAGCCACCGTTGTCTGCTTCTTTGTCTTCCACGAAACCGGCGATTCCCCAAGTTGCACGAACCAGCCTGTCAACGATCGCCGGGTCAAAGGACATGCTGCCCAATCTGAATCACACCATCCCGTAAGCTGAAGGCTACTATCTGCAGAGAGAAAAATGCCCTGTCCAGGACACCCTTTCATGTAACGAACCACCCCAAGCGCCACAGACCACTGATCCTCCCTTGGTTCTTTCAAAAACTGTGCCAAAGTATGTACGGCGTAGGAGAGCTCAGGTCGAGTAACAGAGAGATAGACCAATCTTCCTACCAGTCGTCGATACGGTTCCGGATCTGCAAGGACAGGAGCTTGGGAACGAGCCAAGTGATGATTTGGCTCCATCGGGGCACCCAACGGTCTGGCACCTAATAGCCCCGCCTCAGTAATGATATCTAAAGCGTACTTTCGTTGGCGGACTTTCGTTGGCAGAAAAAAATTCCAGATGTACTTCGTTCTACCTCGATGCCAAGAAAGAACTTCAGAGTCCCCAAATCCTTCATCCGAAAACAATCAGCTAAATATTCCTTGAACTTGTGTATCATCTCAGTACTATCACCCGCAATGATCAAATCATCTACATAGACTAGAACATGAATTACTCCTTTCTTTCCAACAAAAGAAAATAAAGAGTAATCGGAAACAGACTGCACAAATCCATATCGTATCAATGCCCCAGACAATTTTGCAAACCAACATCTTGGAGCCTGTTTCAAGCCATACAAAGACTTCTTGAGTTTGCACACCATATTGGACGAACTCGAGAAACCAGGTGGCAACCTCATATACACCTCATCCGGAAGATCTCCATGCAGGAATGCATTGTGAACATCCATCTGATGCAATTCCCATCCCTTAACTGCTGCGATTGCTAAAAGGGTGCGCACGATGGTCAACTTGACCACAGGAGCAAAAGTTTCTTTGTAGTCAATACCTTCAACCTGGTGATTACCAAGTATAACAAGTCGAGCCTTGTATCTCTCTATACTGCCATCAGACTTGCGCTTGATTTTATATACCCACTTGCATCCAAGAGCCTTTTTATGACGTGGAGGACGAACAAGAGACCACGTACCATTGGCTTCCAACGCATCAATTTCTTCTCGCATGGCCTTCCTCCAACGTTCATCCTGAAAGGTCTGTTTGAAATTTTTTGGCTCTATTTCTTCATCAAGTGCTGCGAGAAAACACTTATGTTTGTCAGAAAATTTCGCATAAGTGACATATGAGGAAAGTGGATATCTGCACTTTTCTCCGATCTGTGGACCAGCCACATGCGTAACATAGTCCGCAAGCCTCACATTTGGTCGCCTTTCCCGCTGACCACGTCCCAAGGTCTCTGCTGTGTTCTGGAGAGAGGACGGTCGACCGCCATCCGTGGAACGGTCCACCGGGTCGACCGTTTGTAATGGTTCCTGAGCGTCTTCTTTCTGCCGCAGAGACGGTCGACCGTTCTCCTTGTCACGGTCGACCGTTTCATCATCCCTCTGGAGGTTATCTTTCTGCCCTTCGGACGGTCGACCGTGGTCATCAGAACGGTCCACCATGTTGACCGTCGGTTGCACTCCCAGAGGTCCATCTTACTGCCTCTCGAACGGTTGACCGTGGACAGCGGGATGGTCCACCAGGTCTACCGTCTGTAGCTCACTTGCTTCACTGGTCTCCTCCGGTCGACCGTTCCTCGTGGAACGGTTCAGCTGCTCTTCCGCAGTCATGTCATCTTCATCGTCGAAGTGATCAACTGGAGAAGAAACACTTGCTCCATCTTCATTCAACATTTCACCTGTGGAAATCAAGTAGGGAAAAATGTTTTCACAAAACACAACATCTCGGGACACGCTTATTTTCTCAGTGTCCGGAAAATACACGCGCCATCCCTTCTTTCCTTGTGGATAGCCCAAAAATATTCCAAGAATACTTCTGGGTGCAAATTTATCTCCGTCTCTCTTCAGGTTGTGAACGTAACATCTGCAACCAAAAATACGAATGTGAGTTAACGCAGGGGCCCTTCCATAGAGCTTTTCATACGGTGTAACCCCCCCTAGGAGAGACGAGGGAGTCCGGTTAATCAAATATGCCGCCGTTTTTATACATTCTCCCCAAAATTCTATCGGAAGACCCGCTTGAAATCTCAGAGCACGTCCCACATTCAGAATATGTCGATGCTTACGCTCCACCCTTCCATTCTGTTGTGGTGTAGACACACAAGATGTCTCACGAACAATTCCCTTCTCCAAAAAATATTCATTCAAGCACTCAAATTCTGTACCATTGTCACTTCTCACACATTTTATTCTCTTCCCAAATTGACATTCAACCATGGCACAAAATTGTTTAAAAACACTCCCTACAGTTCGTTTTGAATCAAGCAAATATACCCACACACCACGCGAGAAATCATCTACAATAGTCAAAAACAGTGTAGAACCATCCAAACTTGGTGTCCGATAAGGACC